TATTCCTCTTATCGGCAAGACATATCGGCATAATTTTTCATATCGGGCCGATGCCGATATTTACATTTAAAGCCATTATCGGCCGATTCCGATATCAGTCCAATAATATCGTGCATCCCTAAATAATTTTTCTAATTCTATAAGAAAAGTAGAGTCCACACCCCAACAATAACGATAACAACACATAAAAACGTTATCACTGGAATGACTTTAAGACTTTTTTTCAGCAGTTGAACGATAAAAACATTTAGAGATAATCAGAATACATCTGACCTTAAAGAGCTCGAGCATTTTAACCATCAGATGACAAAACTGCAGTGCATTATTATAATACATTGAATGTTCTCGTCTGTTGGTCACACTTTATTTTAAGGTCCAATTCTCGCTATTAACAAACCATTAACTATGGCTTTTGCCTCAATAAACTCCTAATTTGCTGCTTATTAATAGTTAGTATGGTACTGTAGTTGTTAAGTTTAGGTATTGGGTAGGATTAGGGATACAGAATATGGTCATGCAGAAAATGTACTTAATAAGTACTAATAAACAGACAATATAATAATAATAGGCATGTTAATAAGCAACTAGTTAATAGTGAGAATTGGTCCCTAAACTACTAATTTGCTGCTTATTAAGAGTTAGTAAGGTAGTTGTTAAGTTTAGGTATTGGGATTAGGGATGTGGAATATGGTCATGCAGAATATGTGCTTTATAAGTACTAATAAACTGCCAATATGTTTTTAACAGGCATGCTAACAAGCAACTAGATAATAGTGAGAATTGATACTGAAGTGTTACCGTTCTGTTAGTGTGAACTATAGTTATCTTTCTTGTTGTGAACCAACCTTAATGCTCAAGTACCTCTTAATTTGTCCCTTCAATTATATTAAACTGGATTTTCTTTAAAAATAACCCTGGGGTGGGACTATCTGTATGATCGGCAAATGACAGACAGGAGTGTTCTGGAAAGCTGTTTAGGTGCCACTAGTGGAGCAGAAGTCACACTTCACATTCAAGTCAAGACACATCACAACAATTTCAGCTCTGCACGTTCATGTAACGTGTATAAAAATTCAACATGACTCAGACTATTAGACTAAAAAAAAAAATGAAATGATGAGATAACCTTTGATTTTCTTCCTGAAATGTCACATTCTTGATCTTGAATTATTCGCGATGTCTCCAATAATTAGTTAAATAGATTAATAAGTTACAATTAAACAGTACAAAGGCCAACTGTGGCTGTTCTTAGGGCAGTGCAACTGGGCCAACCGCACCAGGCCCCATCCTTTAAGGGGGCCCTGCATCTTCTACTTGCACTTGGCCCCGTCCCATGCTAGGAATGACCCTGATCCTAACCAGGAGCAACAAGTGTCTAGTCATGTTGTTTTTTTGTCCACACAAAAATGCTCTGGCAATCACAACTAGGTATACACAATACCGATAAGTTGATGAATATATCTACCAATATATACCGATATACTGATACCGGTAAGTGATAAACATTTCAAATATTTTGTAAATAAATATTTTAAACATTTAATTAAACATTAAACATAACATAAACATTAAAACCTAATGCAAAATAGAGTAAATAAGCTTGCACAATTAAATAGCCAATATTTATTACAGATAAACTTTAAAATCTCCAATATTGGCCAATAACCAATCAGAAACAAAAAATAACGTATCTATGGATCAGACTGCTACAAACTACCATTACCGATTTTAACACCTCTGACTGGCCACTGCATTCATAACAGACATGTGTGTGCATGGTTATAATGAGTAAACCACTAGATTTTCAGTGTGAGAAGAAGCCAGCAAGACGTGAAATAAATGGTACCTTCATGCGAGATCAAGTGACTCATCAAATACACTTGGCTTTCGCAGAGTCTATTCGGGATGCTGTCGTTCTGGCAAACGTTCCTGCTATATTAGAAATGCTGACAGGCTCCCTATCACTCTTCCTCTGGGACAGTGGCGAGCAGTGGTACTCACCTCCAACTTCCACTTGGCCAGCAACTCCTCCCTGGTCCTCTTGCTAATGTAATAAGGGTCACCGGCCTGGAAGGTTACTCTGGGCATGGGTCTTTGACGGAGGCTGACTTCCCAGCCCACTCCCCCACGGAGCCTCCCTCGAGCTCCCTGTTTAAAGGGACAAAAGCAAAAAAAAAAAAGAAAAGAAAAGAAAAAAATTAACGACTTTTTCTCTCTCTGTTTTAGTGTGCTGATCTATCTATGCGATCCTAAATGAAGGAAAGAAGTAGGGGGATTGTCTGCGAATGATTTTGGAGCGTTTCGCGAATGGGCTAGTGGGGGACTCTCAAACTAAGGGCACTCATCAGTACAGAGAGGGTTCGAGCGGCCCGACGGCTGGTGGAGAACAGGGACCCTTGTTTTTAAGCAGAGGACCAAGTGTATTTGATATTTCACCATTAGGGTACCATTTCTTTCATAATCAAGTGGCTGGAAAAACAGGTTCCATGTCATCTTCCTATGAATTCTGAGTCTTGAGCAATTAACGGAAAGGTTGAATTTTCACAGACGGAAACACACAAACGTGCACACATATCACATCAGGCGCACAACAGGAAGACAGTTTTACCTCATTCTTTGCAGAGTCCCCACCCTCGTCCTCCTTGTGCTCCACGTCTAGAAGGGAAACAGCCACAAGAACAAGCGATTACCTGAAATGTTTCTGACAGTCCGGATTTGTCGCAATGGAAATCTGTCTTCATCAATCTGCAGTATAAGGCCTCAATTATATTTTTGCATCAACAGAAAATTTCACAAGGCTTTTATGTGGAAGAGTAAGCATAACATAGCTTTGAGCCAAAATAAACTATTCTCATTTGTGTGCAAAGTTTTTTTTACTTGTAAAAGAGTTTAAATAAAGAGCTGAGAAGCCAAAAGCAGCAGGAAGACAGACCATTTTAGCTTGAGGGCTTTGTGTTACTAAAAAGAAACTGAGTATTAATGTCAGTCAATGACTACCAAAAAGACCAAAAAGTTGGGTTGCTAAATATGTACTGTGAAAATTGCCACAGGGCAATATTTACTTACACACAGCATGAATGTGTCTTTGTGTGCGGCACCAAAATACTACCATTTAAAAAAATGTTTCTGGCCAACATGATATTACTAGAGCCAGATGTTTTATGTGTACTATAATTGGGTGGATTGAAAGCGTAACAGATGATTGGCTTAATAAAGAGGATACAGTTTAAATAATGCAGGATACAGTTGTGAATCTGTCAAAAGCTGTCATAAACATCTGCATGGTAACAAAAGTGTGAAGATTTGTGAATGCAACAATCAACACATACATACAAAAATTTTGTAAACACACCATGTCTATTTATGAACTGTGCTTTTCATGTGTCATATTTTTGAATAAGAAGTTGTGTTTCAATTTTGTGAATCATATTATTTGAATGATTTTGAAGCTATTTTGCTTCCATACTTTGCATAACATTTTTTTTTACTTTCTGTATGACTGTAGCTATAGCCTTAAAGTGTTGTTTCAAAATGTTAAAAGAAAGACGAAAAAATTCACCAAGTATCAGTTCATGCACATTTTTTTCAAATATCCGATTTTTGAGTAAATATTGTATAAAACAAGTGCTCATTCATATGGAATTATATCAGCCGACCCGGCTCTAGACATTAGTATTGAAATCAGCCATTGAAGATCCAATATCGGTCAACTACTCCTTTTAATATCAATTACCTCAAAGAATAGCAGTAATTCCAAAAGCATGAAATCAAAAATGATCCTCTGCGCTACACACAAACTAAACCATTCTCTGCAGGCTCCAATCAGAACACAGAAATGCAGGACATCATGAATACTAGCAACACTGAAACAACCACTTTGACTCATTATCATAGCGGATTTGACATCTCTGACATTCAGTGACTTTGCAGCGGGGAAAGCCCCATCGTCTTTGGCCGTTGTTTTGTGTCTCACACCTTTTTTTAATGGTACAGGCAGAAGTATTTTCAGATTTTTCAGATGTCAAGTTAAAAATAGCCTGCTCTATTCCATTGTGCTGCATTTAGCTGTTTTTGAATCCAAAAATGTCAACACCCCTAAGAAACATGTTCAGTCAGGGGCTGAATCGACTGATGTAAGAATAGTACCCCATTTTCATCCAAAAAAAACACAAAGAAAATGTAAAACAAAATGGCAGCAGATTCAATCTATGCCTAGTAATGGTTAATGTGATAACTAACTAGTCAGTCCGAACAGAAAAGTAATACCATTGCAATCTGCTGTACAAACAAATCAGTAACTTACTACTATTTTGGAATAACTTCCCCAACACTGATACTTTCTCTGTACTCATCTAACGCCATTCATCTTGCGCACATTCCACAGCACCACAAAGAATCCTCCCGAAATTCTTGAAAAGTTCTGACTCCTTTTTTGCCCTGGCATTGATTTATACTCCTGACTTCTCCACATACAAAAGGATGTAGTTCATGCCTAAACAGCTTTGTCTTGGCTGGGTTCAGCAGGTTGTCGAGCTTAGCCAGAGGCTACGATTACCAGTGACCTGAAACATTAGCAGGGCTATCATGATGATTCATGATTCAAGAGTACTGAGACTCCCTTCTAACTTGGGGTTGAGGAAGACAATATTACTGAGAGCTCAACAAAGCTTTCTAAAAGCACACCCACAATTCCACTACCGCATCAATAAAACGTGGCCACTCAAAAGCCTATGGAAGATTCATTCCTGGTCAAGTGAAAAACCAGCTACAGATTTGCTAATACTGTATAGAGCATCTGATAGAATAGTTTATTTCCTAAAACCTTTCCTTTTTGCTTGAAGCCCAACATTAGCATGAGTTAGGTCGAGCTTAGCCAGAGGCTACGATTACCAGTGACCTGAAACATTAGCAGGGCTATCATGATGATTCATGATTCAAGAGTACTGAGACTCCCTTCTAACTTGGGGTTGAGGAAGACAATATTACTGAGAGCTCAACAAAGCTTTCTAAAAGCACACCCACAATTCCACTACCGCATCAATAAAACGTGGCCACTCAAAAGCCTATGGAAGATTCATTCCTGGTCAAGTGAAAAACCAGCTACAGATTTGCTAATACTGTATAGAGCATCTGATAGAATAGTTTATTTCCTAAAACCTTTCCTTTTTGCTTGAAGCCCAACATTAGCATGATATTCAGATCAAAAGTAACATTCACCATTACAAACTTTCCCACATCAAAGTGCTAGCGCAGAGTTCTGAGAGGTACAAAAAAAAAGATTAGCTTGAACTCTGCAAGTTAGAAATATGAGAAATTAAAGAGACATATTTTTATGTTCCTTTGCTAAATGTCAGTTCCTAAACTGTCACTGCAATCCCAGTGGTGATGTGTATCATGAAAAATGTAGCTTTCAAATAAGATTTGTGTAAACATACTATTTCAACAACGACAACTTCCTCCTCAGTGCATCTCTGCATGTCTGTAAGCTGCAAAAATGGTCCGCTGCAAAACTGACAAGCATTCTGAGCATTCTCAAAAGTGACTCAATACACAGCCCTACTACCAAATGCATAAATGTACATTACTACAATTTTAAGTACACTTCAGCAAAAAAGTAAAATGTTTAAAATAAACTAAAATAAAATAAGTGTTTTTAGATGGTGTGTCAAGTTAAAAATAGCCTGTTCTATTCCATTGTTTCAAAATATATTCATTTATTTATTCATTTTCTAACTTGTTGCCACCGCCATGTCGTGAAGACGCTGTGTGTTTCGTTGTGAAAGCGAAACTACTTTGTTTGGCCTTCCAAAAGAGGACGATATCCACTTCGTCATGCCTAGAGCTGATCCGTGCTCC